ACAGCATTTGTTAAAGGCCGCCGAATCAGTGACAACATCATGGTTGCACAAGAGCTTTTTGCGGACTTTCACCATGAAGCTTATCTACCAAAATGTGCCATTAAGGTTGATTTTCATAAAGCCTTTGACACACTTGATTGGAACTTCATAGAAAGGGTACTCACAGCCTTCAAATTTCCAGCTTTTTTCATTAGGCTGGTTATGACATGCATCTCAACTGCAAAGTTCTCGGTCTCCATTAATGGAGAACTACATGGCCATTTTCATAGCAGCCGAGGGATACGTCAGGGCGATCCGCTATCGCCGTACCTATTCATCCTAGCTATGGAAATCTTCTCAGCTATCCTCAAGTCCAAAACTGACAGTCCAGACTTCCAGTGGTTTTGGCGATGCAAGAAACCTCGTATATCCCATTTGTTCTTTGCTGATGATGTTCTTTTATTTTCGCAAGGACACATGAGATCGTTAGAGCTCATAAAGGAATCCCTCGATTTGTTCTCAAATTGTTCTGGCTTAAGACCAAATCTTAATAAGAGCAATATGTACCTCTCGGGCGGTAATCCCGATCTCCGTAGTGCTCTTCTTCAATGCATCGGTTTTCAACAAGGGTCTCTGCCCTTTCGATACTTGGGTGTGCCTATTATCTCTTCTAGGCTGCGTAAAGAGGATTGCAAATTCCTCATTGAATCCATAACGGCACGAGCCCGTTCTTGGACCCAAAGATTCCTATCGTTTGCTGGTCGCGTACAGCTCATACAATCGGTTTTACTCTCCATCCAAGTTTACTGGGCCACAATTTTCTCCCTCCCCAAATCGGTCTTGAATAGCATTGAGGCTATCCTTCGACGCTTCCTTTGGAAAGGTCTGGCTTAGGCAGGGGAGGTGCAAAGGTATCTTGGAATGTTGTCTGTCTCCCAAAAGATGAAGGCGGCCTCGGGATACGAAGGCTTACTGAATATAATAGAGCCATGACTCTAAAGCACATATGGATCCTTTTCACCGATAAGGAATCCATGTGGTGTAAATGGATACATTCTAACTTTTTAAAGAAGAACTTTTGGGTTGTACCCAAGCCCACCTTTTGCTCATGGACTTGGAAGAAGATTCTCGACTTCCGAGTCTCAGCCCAGACCCTTTTCAGGTGGAAAATTGGCAATGGCCGGTCGATATCCTTTTGGTATGATTGCTGGCACACAAGAGGCCCCCTCTACCTACTTTTCAACAATACGGAAATATACCAATCTCGGATCCCGCGGGACTTTTCGGTTCGGGATTTTTTCCACTCTACATGGCAACCATCAGCAACCCTCCACTCTATCCTGGAATGGATGGATCATCTTCCAAGATTAGATGATGACACTCCGGACAGCTTTACCTGGAGTCCAAACCCGACTGAATCTTTCTCGGTGGCCCAGGCCTGGAACCACATAAGGAAGAAAGGCAATCCAAGCACCTTGGCACTCCTTTATATGGGACTCTCACTTGACCCCCCGCCACTCCTTTTTATTATGGATTGTGTCATTAAAACGGCTACCTACCCGGGTCTTTCTTATGCGGAATCGTCGGATTGAATCGGGTTTATGTGCTTTACAGTCGTACTATCCCGATTCCATCAACCATCTCTTCTTCGAATGTTACACGCCAGGCGGCCTCATTTTGGGCAACCAAATGCAATCCGCCATGGCGCAATCGTCCGTGGCTGGAGCTTCTTTCGTGGGCCTTCAAAGTTTGTGGAGGCACTTCCTTCCGGCACCGAATCGCTAGATTCTCCTTCGGTGCTCTTTGTCACATCATATGGATTGAGCGGAATAACTCTCTTTTCAGAAACAAGAGTATCTTTATTCCGGGAATCCGCAAACACTTGCTCAAGCTGGTGAAGGATAAAGCACTATCCTCAGGGAAAATTGCTGACACACCTACAAATAGGCGACTCCAAAGGAACTGGGAACTCTCACCTTCCATTTTTTCATAATTTGGTTGTGTAGTTTCTCTATCTTGTACCTAGCATTGTTGGTTGTTAGTTTTTCGTTTTTGCCTTGTTGAGTGCCCCCCCCTCTTTCGGACTTCATGTAGATTCGGGATTCGGGGTTTTCTCTTGTCATTTCCTTGTATTTGGTGATTCAGAAAAGTAATACAAACTCTTACCTTTACCAAAAAAAAAAAATAAAATAAAATAAAATAAAAGACAGCTCACCAAAGTGTTAATTTTTTGTTTATCCATAAGGTCCATTAATCATGAAGGTGGATTTTCTCTCAATCCATACCTCACGTGACACGGGATTAATTTTAACTTTTTTAACAAGTAGAGTCCCCACTAGCCTTTGTTGGGGGTTGGTTAGATTACCCAATCGAAACGTGAGAATTTCGTTTCGATTTCTACGAAAACCAGTGATCATGGATTTGGGGACTAGCTTATGTTTATAATTCCACTAACACCCTTTTAGTACTGCTAAACTTAATGTGGTTATTATCTAAGTTGTCATACGTTTATTTTTATCATTTTCATGCCAAAGCCCAAATCCACTAAGTGACAATGCATCTTGTTTTTGTGTTTTCCGTTTATGATTTTAAGCCAATCCTATTTTAGTCTAAAAAAAAAAAACAAACAAACAATTCTATTGAAAAGTGGTGTGTAAAGTAAACACCCAACGAAATTGAAATGGCAACCTAATCTAAGAACAAGAAATGAAAACCCACAACTTGTCGGATATTCATTACAATATGAATGGAACACTCAAGACATGGTCAGGTGATGAATGAGATATGGTTGGGTGTTGAATGAGTTCCAAAATGAGATCGGATTGGACATCGGTCTTTTGTCATCGTCTTCACGTCTTTTGGCAACTTTCACCATGGATTGCCCCGTGGGTATCGATTTTACATTCACATCATACATTTCGTACAAGTTATATGCAAACATTCAAGCAAATCATCCAGAACATCAATTCGAGAACGAGCCATGGGATCGGCCTTTGAATTTCATGCATTGCGATCACCCAACCACCTAATCAACTATGATTGATTGATTAGTGATTAATGATAGTCGGCCACCAATTACATTTACAAAATGGTGGTCGATATCAATTAACCCCGAAAGTCAGTTCTAAATGTCCCGTAGGGGCTACCCGCTGCATATGTATAGAGCCTAATCATTCATCTCACAAACATAAGCATAAGCGATGAATTGAACATGTGTTTAGGCCAAATGACCTTATTTCTCAATCAAACAAGCAATGGAAAGTGAGCCTTAGGAGGATCACTTAATTCAACTAAAATTTGTCAAATTCGGACACATTTTGTTGAAATGCGATTAACCCACCAAACGATGTCCAAATAACGTGAATTAGGTGCCATTAGAAATCTTAGGTCGTGAGGATCAACGATCAACTTCCTACTCAATTTTTTCGAAAATTGGAATTTAACCTGGATACCCTTGACCCAACCTGATTTTGGCCCGAAATTCGAAAAAATGCGGGAAAAATAAAAAACATTATCCAAATCCTGCCAAATTTTGCAAGCAGTTAGGAAAACATGTGACAAACAACTTTCATGTTTTGAGTTTTTGATAAAACCCCCTCATCTTTCTTAAAAATATTGATTTTCACCTGGGACTTAGTTGCAAACCATTTTCCAAAAACATATTGACCTTATGCAAGTTTTTTTATGAAATTGACTCCCCCAAATGTTGCAATTAGGTCCTCAAACTTTGTGCTCTTCAAATAAAGACCCCAATGAACAACTTTGAAGTTTTGAAATTTTTCAAAAGAGGTCATCAAGTTTAACGAAATTGCAAAAACACGTGTGGATACTTATAGGCTTAAATTTCCAGATCTAAACACATGATCCAATCAACACAATGATCAAATTAGGGACCAAATGCAACGTTATTTTCTGGGCATGTATAAAACAAGTTCTAGTTTTTTCAAATAAATTCAATGGAATCCTTCATACATATAATCTAGTATTTAAAGGACAAAACGATGTGTTAATGACTCCAAAGACCAAAAAAAGTAAACAAATCTTTAGTAGCTTCGGGTACATCCCCATGGAGCTCTGCCAAGGACTAGTATCAGATAATTTGTTAAGGATTAAGCTGAATTTATTTAAAAAATTAAGGCCCTCTAAAAAGGAACTTATTGATGAGATTAAATTTGACAAGTACCCACGTATAACAAGAAATTCTCATAATACCTAGCAACATATTGTCACCTTTGCAATGGACCTAAAATTTGGTAAGAAATTCATATCATTCCACTAGATGATATATATCATTAAATGAAAAGGATCCCCTTTCTCCTCTACCTTTCGAGTCATCAACTCATTCAACAACTTGAATGAATTTCTAAGTATATAATGGTGCTACTCTAGTTCATCTCAACACATCACTGCACTAGGTCACGAAGCTGTCAAGGCTCGTTGAGAGAGAGAGAGAGAGAGAGAGAGAGAGAGAGGCCAAGTACAGTATAGGTGGGAATAGCCATGGTGGTAATAGCATCTAAAAGAATGGGCTTGATGATGCTTGTGGCGACTCTCATACTGTGCTCGTCCATTGGTGTCAACGCCAATTCGCACATACTTTTGTCACGCAAGTGGAGATGCGTAATTTCATGTGCCTTTTCACCTCCCATACTTCCATGCGTGCTCAAATGCCTCATTATTGCTCCCCCACAGTCCTTGACGTACGCGGCATCGCAACACTGCGATGTCGGTTGTTTCGTGTCGACTTGCCTTGACTATCATCAAGGTAACAATCTTCACATCCAGATCGAAAAAATAACGTAGCTTCTTGTGAGATCCGTGAAACCAAGGAAGTCATGATATAATCTTATTTTCATTATAAATGTGTCATTGATATATTTTAAATATGAGAGCATGGTTGCATACCAAATCATTTCATTTCCTTCGACTTCCATATATACGCTCTTGTTAAAAGAAATTCAATTTCTATTTTAATTTGAGTGACTTTTTTAATCTCTTGTTTCATATTCGAACTTATGTAGACACCGAGAAAGTTGGAATGGACGTGAACAAGGCTGGAGCTTGTGCAGATTCATGCTCTCGGAGTTGCCAGAAGACTTATCCATTGCACTGAAGTCATTGAACTTTTGTAATGCCTTTGTACTTTCAATGCTCAAGAAATAAAAAAGTGCCTTTTTAATATTCAACTTGACCATGAGATATAAATACAAAAGAAAAAGTAAGCCCTACAATATAACGAAGTTGGCCTTGTCATGCCTCTACCGATTCGTATTGAAACACGATTGTATGTTTTCATGGTGTGCATAAGATTGTTAGCCTCTGCAACGACATCACATAATTGCATCACTTAGTGGTACTGCCAACAAGCCGAATGAAATGATATGTATGAGCACGTGTCAAGGCAAAAAAAGAAAAAGAATTATATATATCATTCACCGAAAGTTAACTTTGTGAAATACGTTTGGGTGGCAATTTAAAATAAGACTAGACATCAAATTCTGTATGGTCACCCATACAAATACAACCTAAAATTAGGGAAAAAAGTCTCTCCTCATGAAGCCGATGTTCTCCATTCTACCAAACAAAGGATGCTCTTTCGTCAACTCTTTGCCGAGTCATAACATCCTGTTGGCTTCTTTGTAACTAGCTAACCATTTAATGACTTAAAAACAACTATAAATCTTTGACTCTGCACGCAGGTAAGCTACATATGATTCTTTCCAACTGCTATAACACCCACCTGAACACAATTTACGAGACAACACAGAGAGAAACGAGCAACCACATGAATATCAAAGCATCGAAGAGGGAGATGGCGAAAATCTTGATGGCGGGGCTAATATATAGTGCATTCCTCGTCGAGGCATCTATGGAATGTAAGAAAATGTGTGCTCGTGCTTGCGCGATTACCATTTTGCCGTGGATTTGTTATGACCTTTGCGTGCGAGGTTGTCATGATGGCAAATCATTTGTCCTGACAGTTCTTGAGCAATGCTATGTTGGTTGTGTGTGTCTGAGTGTTTCGATCGCCTTTAGGTATAATTTCTACACTATCGTTGTCACACCCCGAACCCTACGAGCGTGCGATCATCCCTTCGTGGTCGTAATGTACGCGACATCCCAGGACTTGTCGCCGACCCAATCGAAACACTAATGAGTAACGCATGCGGAAGTAACCTCGAACTCTCCGTACAACATATAAACAACGGGATAGTAGAGAGACAAAGAATACACATCAACAAGTCACTTTTATAAACATAACATCGATTACAACACATACATTTACAAGCCTTCTACGAGGCCACTATCTACGAACCACGCACAATGACATGGATCGGGTGGTTGGTAAGCTTAACTCCTCTAGAAAAAGGTGCACTCAAAAAACGGGGTAACTCGACCTATCCTCAATCCCCGTAGTATCCTGGCAGCGTCTCCGGATCAATCACGGTCGCGGGTCTGAAATGGTTTGGTTATACAACCATGAAAACACTTCTCAATAAGCAACTACCTAAGCCTCGCTTAGGCCAAAGTGTACTTCCGAACAATTCTAAACATGCGACTCAAACAATAGACGTGCCATAAACAATCACAGGCGTCCTTACCTCGCCTTGGTGCATACACAAGCCCTGCACATTAGAATATCGCCATAACATGGCCAATTGCCCATCAAGCACGCACAAAGCAATTCATGGCATGATCAAGCATAACATGGTTAATAATCCAGACGTGCTCATCAATTAACTTAGGCAAAGCATTCCCCAATGCAAATCGCACTCATTAAGTCCAGATTATTAACGACCCCTTGGGCCACCGAACTCCCGCCGGTCTTCTGGCGTAACCAGGCATCGTCCCGCTACTTCGGCGACGGCAACGTCCAGAACCCCCGCCCAGACGGCATTCCACAAAGGAGCATCGATCCGGCCTCTACCGCGATCGGCAACGTCTAGAACCCCCGCCTAGACGGCATCCGAACTCCCGCCGGGCATCGTCTAGAACTCCCGCCTAGACGGAACGTGTCGTGACCATGCACACACCTCAACAATCATTAACAATTCTTATCTTTGTAAATTAGCCCAATGTCAACTAAATCCACCAAAATGTCATGGTAACACCGATCAATTCCCGAGAGAGAGAAAAACCGAGTATGCACAGAATCGGGGCCAAACTGGGCAGTAACATAGTCACCGAATTTCCTTTAAAATAAATAGTAAATCAACTTCAAAAATTCTGAAATTTGGATATGTCGCATAAAACATCTTGATAAATATTTTCCATGAAGAACTCAAAACCCAGTTCCTACTGTAAACATCACTTTTTGTCACTTGAAGTCAGACAAAATTCAACCCGTCCAGTCAGACCGCCTGACCATCAAAATGCATCTCATCCAGTATCCAAATCATTTTGGAAAGTCTTAAAATTTTTATATGTTATAGAAACGGATGTTCTTAAAAATTTTCGTGAAGGAATTTTGTTGAAAAGAGGTCTACAAAAATTTATAGAAAATCGGAAAGACCAGAAGGTCGGATGAACAGTAAATCCGGCAGACTGAATTCGGTCCAAAAATGGTCTTACGAATGGCACTAAATGATCTCAAAAAATTCCAGATTTAATATATGTCAAACGTCAAGATGTTATGAACAACTTTCATGAAGAACACATCCTCAAATTCGGCCCATACAAGTCACAGGAAAAATAGCAAAATCCAGCGACGCAGCAGCAACCTTACCGGAAATTAACCAACAAGCACCACCAAGCAAACCAAGCACAACCAGCCACTAAACCAACTATCCACAGCCCTTAAACCATCCCTAACATGTCCATTAGTCACCCCTTAGCCTAGTCAAGGGTTAGGAAGCCACTTACACTTAGCCTAAGCAAGAAAACCGAGCGAAAGGAGCAGCTCAGTCACGGCAAAGCAGCAGCAGCGACGCCGGAGCAGCAGCAGCCTCAGCGGACAGGCGGCAGCTCACGGCAGAGTCGGGTGGAGATGGGGGCTGAACGGTGGTGCTGGTCGGGCTGGAATGGAGGGCGAGAAGCAGCAGAAACCAGAGGAAGCAGAATGAAGAAGCAAGTAGCAGCGAAGCAGCAGCAGAAAATGAAGTAGAAGCAGCAGGCGTGGGGGTGGTCAGCAAAGAAACAATGTAGGGGGAAGTTAGCAGCAGCATAGTAGTGACAGAAACAACGTGGGGCAGCATGGGCAGCTTGAGGAGTCAGTGGATGCAGCGGTAAGAAGCAGAAGCAAGCCAGAAATGGCATGGGCGGAGCAGAAGCAACACGGCAGCAGAAGCAGCAGGGAAGTCCATCATGGCAGCTGCATGGGGAGGTCAGCAACGTGGGGGAGTCAGCTGAAGTATGGGGGAGTGATGATGGCTGGTGGAGTTGGTGGAAGAAGTCAGCAGCAGCAGCAAAGGCAGAAGCAGAAACAGAAGCAAAGCAGAAGCATGGGTGGAGCAGCGTGAGATGAGGAGTCAACAACGTGGAGGAGGGCAGCGGGGAAAGAGGAGGAAGTCAGCGGCGTGGGGGAGGAGAGAGAGAGGAGAGAGAGAAAGTCAAATGCACTTGAGTGCGATCCGACGATCATCGTTCAAATCCGAAAATGATCCAACGGCCTACGAAAAACCCTAATTATAAATTAGGAAAAAGGCTAAAAGATAATAACTAAAACACACTACGAGAGAGGTCTACTAGTCCAAATTCGCACCCGGTCAAAATTTCACATTTCGCATATCCCGGGCAATATCGAGGCTGACCACAATAATATCGACACCGTCCAATTAAATTCGTCCCGGAACTCCGAGAAATTTGACACCAACGTTTGGGCTCTAAATAATGGCCAAATTCGATCGAGTGCGATTCTAGCGAAATCTCAATTTTAAAAACAATAACCGAGAGTGATCAGTTCCCGAGCGAGATTTTACTATAAGCACACTGACGAATTACACGTTTTATAAATCCCAAAAATGGGCCGAAATTCGGAATGTCACAATCGTCACGTCTAATCTTCGCTCGAAGTTAACACAAGTAACACTTAATTTCCAATTTGTGACACTCTGAATTTAATTCACCCTGGGGTGTTGTCCATCTTGGCCCATCTAATACCGAACCTAACCATTTTTTATTTCGGCTTACGAGAAGGCACTTTCCCAACCCTTCTTGGTGGTGCTCCCACCTGAGCACACTTGACTTTGGAGTTTCAAAGCCGAGCAGTGCGCTTACTTCAAAAGGTGCCTCCGTGAGTTAATTGCAATTTTCACACATATATTCCAAAAGCGCTCTACAAATTGGAAGAACAAGTCCCTGGTGACTTGAACATTTCGTCGGTAGTGTCAAATACTCTACTAAATTTGACTACTTTGAGAAGTCTCAGGATGCATGGCTGTGACATATTTGGAGTATTTCCAACTAGAGTATTTTATTAACCAAGACTGAAACAACAGTCTGGTGGGACACTTTCCGGATTTTAGCTCAAGTAGTCCACCTGATGAACTGCAACTACCAGTTATGCGTTGTTTCGAGGAGTTACCACCATCAAATAGAAACCTTATGTCTTCGAGTTATCTTGATATGGTAGCTTGTGAATATTTCGGAATGATCCCATCATCATTTGGTCACCTTAACAAGCTTGAATACCTATATCCAACAGTGAAATCGTTGATTGCTCAGACTATATGTTCTCTATTTTGGGTTTGGAACTGATAAAGTTCACCAGTTCGAAAATCGAAAGAATCATTCCAATAGGCGACATTCCTCTTTCAATTGAAAACCTAACTCATCTTGTTAACTTAAGGTTTTTGGCAATCTTATAAATGGTACCATACCGCCTCAGCTTATGAACCTCATGCATCTCACTAAATTAGACCTACACGCGAATCAACTATCAGATCATTCACCATCTTGTCTCATAACTTGACTCAACTAACACTGCTTCACCTGGACACCAAAAGACTCGAAGGCTCGATACCCTCATCGATCTCTCAGCTCTAATATCTCAAAGTCCTTAACGTTGCCAGAATCGCTTCAGAGGTACAACCATGCTAGACGGCTTTCTTAAAAGAAAAAAAATTAGAGATATTGCAATTGCCATATAAGAGGATATCCGTATACACGAAAATTAGCATGGATGTTACTCTTTCCCGTCTTCCTGATTTAGAACTTGCCACATACGATTTGGGGAAGTTTCTGTATTCCTGCAAAACCAAAGGATATCTATGGGATAGACCAGTCACAAGAAAATATCAAGGGAGAAGTACCTGTCGCGACCCGCACCTTGAGGCCGACCTAGGGGCACGGGTTTAGAGGTAATTATTCATGAAACGATCCAAATGGCACATCTTAAAATATAGCTTACCAAAGCGTCGATCTTCTGTTCATTCATAAGGTTTATTGATCATGAATGTTGCTTCTCCCTCAATCCATACCTCGCGTGACGCGATATTGATTTTATCCATTTTTAACAAATAGAGTCGCCACTAGCCTTTGTTGGGGGTCGACTAGATTACCCAATCAAAACGCGAGAATTTTGTTTCTATTTCTATGAAAACTAGAGATCATGGGTTGGGGGACTAGCTTACGTTAATATTTCCACTAATACCCTTTCGGTACTGCTAAACTTAATGTGGTTATTATCTAAGTTGGCATACATTTGTTTTTATCATTTTCATGCCAAAGCCCTAATCCACTAAGTGACCATGCATCTTGTTTTTGTGTGTTTTCGTTTATGATTTTAAACTAATCCTATCTTAGTCTAGAAAAGAAAACAAACAAACAATTGTAATGAAAAGTGGTGCGTAAAGTAAACACCCAAGGAAATTGAAATGGCAATCTAATCTAAGAACAGAAAATGAAAACGCGCAACTCGTCAGGTATTAATTACATTACGAATGGAAAACCCGAGACATGGTCAGGTGTTGAATGATGTACAAAATGAGATCGGATTGGACATCGGTCTTATGTCGTCATCTTCACGTGTTTTGGTACCTTTCAGCATGGATCGCCCCGTGGGTATCAATTTTACATTCACATCATACATTTCGTGTAAGTAATAGGCAAAGTATCAAGCAAATCATCCCGAACATCAATTCGAGAATGAGCCATGGGGTCGGCCTTTGAATTTCATGCATTTCGATCACCAAACGACCTAATCAACTATGATTGATTGATTAGTGGTTAATGATAGTCGGCCACCATTTACATTCACAAAACGGTGGTCGATATCAATTAACCCCTAAAGTCGGTTCTAAATGTCCACCGTGGGCTACTCGCTGCATATGTATAGAGCCTAATCATTCGCCTAGCAAACACATTCATAAGCGATGAATTGAACATGTATTTAGGCCAAATGACCTTATTTCTCAATCAAACAAGCAATGGAAAGTGAGCCTTGGGAGGATCACTTAATTCAACTAAAATTTGTCAAATTCAGACAGGTTATGTTTAAATGCAAGCAACCCACCAAACGATCTCCAAATGATGTGAATTAGGTACCATTAGAAATCTTAGGTCGTGAGGATTAAAGTTCAATTTCCTTCTCAAATTTTTTGAAAATTGGGATTTGACCTGGATACCCTTGACCCAACCTGATTTTTGCCCGGAATTTGAAAAAATGCGGAAAAAATGAAAAACATTATCCAAATCCTACCAAATTTTGCAGGCAGTTAGGAAAACATGTTTCAAACAACTTTCATGTTTTGAGTTTTGGCTAGAACCCCCTCATCTTTCTTAAAAAAATTGAATTTCACTTAGGACTCAGTTGCAAATCGTTTTCCAAAAACAGATTGACCTTATCCGAGTTTTTTTATGAAATTGACTCCCCCAAATGTTGCAATAAGGTCCTCAAACTTTGAGTTCTTCAAATAAAGACCCCAATGAACAACTTTGAAGTTTTGAAACTTTTCAAAAGAGGTCATCAGGTATGACGAAATTGCGAAAACACATGTGGATACTTATAGGCTTAAATTACCGGATCTAAACACATGATCCAATAAAAACAATGAACAAATTAGGGACCAAATGTAACGTTATTTTCTGGGCATGTATAAAAAAAGTTCTAGTTTTTTCAAATAAATTCAATGGAATCCTTCATAAATTCAATAGAAAATTAAGTCTCTCTAAAACGGAACTTATTGATGAGATTAAATTTGACAAGTACCCACGTATAACAAGAAATTCTCATAATAGCTGGCAACATATTGTCAGCTTTGCAATGGACCTAAAATTTGGTTAGAAATCCACATCATTCCACTAGATGATATATATCATTAAATGAAAAGGATCCCCTTTCTCCTCTACCTTTCCAGTCATCAACTCATTCAACAACTTGAATGAATTTCTGAGTATATATTGGTGCTACTCTGGTTCATCTCAACACATCACTACACTAGGTCACGAAGCTGTCAAGGCTCGTTGAGAAAGAGAGAGAGAGAGAGAGAGAGAGAGAGAGAGAGAGAGAGAGGCCAATTACAGTATAGGTGGGAATAGCCATGGTGGTAATAGCATCCAAAAGAATGGGCTTGATGATGCTTGTGGCAACTCTCATACTGTGCTCGTCCATTGGTGTCAACGCCGACTCGCACATACTTTTGTCGCGCAAGTGGAGATGTGTAATTTCATGTGCCTTTTCACCTCCCATACTTCCATGCGTGCTCAAATGCCTCATTATTCCTCCCCCACAGTCCTTGACGTACGCGGCATCGCAACACTGCGATGTCGGTTGTTTCTTGTCTACTTGCCTTGACTATCATCAAGGTAACAATCTTCACATCGAAATCGAAAAAATAACTTAGCTTCTTGCGAGATCCGTGAAACCAAGGAAGCCATTATGTAATCTTATTTTTATTATAAATGTGTCATTGATATATTTTAAATATGAGAGCATGGTTGCATACCAAATCATTTCATTTCCTTCGACTTCCATATATACGCTCTTGTTAAAAGAAATTCAATTTCTATTTTAATTTGAGTGACTTTTTTAATCTCTTGTTTCATATTCGAACTTATGTAGACACCGAGAAAGTTGGAATGGACGTGAACAAGGCTGGAGCTTGTGTAGATTCATGCTCTCGGAGTTGCCAGAAGACTTATCCATTGCACTGAAGTCATTCAACCTTTGTAATGCCTTTGTACTTTCATTGCTCAAGAAATAAAAAAGTGCCTTTTTAATATTCAACTTGACCATGAGATATAAATACAAAAGAAAAGGTAAGCCCTACAATATAACGAAGTTGGCTTTGTCATGCCTCTACCGATTTGTATCGAAACACGATTGTATGTTTTCACGGTGTGCATAAGATTGTTAGCCTCGGGAATGACATCACATAATTGCATCAGTTGGTGGTACTGCCAACAAGCCGAATGAAATGATATGAATGAGCACGTGTTAAGGCAAAAAAAGAAAAAGAATTATATATATCATTCACCGAAAGTTAACTTTGTGAAATACGTTTGGGTGGCAATTTAAAATACGACTAGACATCAAATTCTGTATGGTCACCCATACAAATACAACCTAAAATTAGGGAAAAAAGTCTCTCCTCATGAAGCCGATGTTCTCCATTCTACCAAACAAAGTATGCACTTTCGTCAACTCTTTGCCGAGTCATAACATCCGGTTGTCTTCTTTGTAACTAGCTAACCATTTAATGACTTAAAAACAACTATAAATCTTTGACTCTGCACGCAAGTAAGCTAAATATGATTCTTTCCAACAGCTATAACACCCACCTGAACACAATTTACGAGACAACATAGAGAGAAACGAGCAACCACATGAATATCAAAGCATCGAAGAGGGAGATGGCGAAAATCTTGATGGCGGGGCTAATATATAGTGCATTCCTCGTCGAGGCATCTTTGGAATGTAAGAAAATGTGTGCTCGTGCTTGCGTGATTACCATTTTACCATGGATTTGTTATGACCTTTGCGTGCGAGGATGTAATGATGGCAAATCATTTGTCCTGACCGTTCTTGAGCAATGCTATGTTGGTTGTGTGTGTCTGAGTGTTTCGATCGCCTTTAGGTGTAATTTCTACACTATCGTTACGTCTAATCTTCGCTCGAAGTTAACACAAGTAATACTTAATTTCCAATTTGTGACACTCTGAATTTAATTCCCCCTGGGGTGTTGTCCATCTTCGCCCATCTAATACCGAGCCTAACCATTTTTTATTTCGGTTTACGGGAAGGCACTTTCCCAACCCTTCTTGGTGGTGCTCCCACTTGAGCACACTTGACTTTGGAGTTTCAAAGCCGAGCAGTGCGCTTACTTCAAAAGGTGCCTCCGTGAGTTTATTGCAATTTTCACACATATATCCCAAAAGCGCTCTACAAAGTGGAAGAACAAGTCCCTGGTGACTTGAACATTTCGTCGATAGTGTCAAATACTCTATCAAATTTGACTACTTTGAGAAGTCTCAGGATGCATGGCTGTGACATATTTGGAGTATTTCCAACTAGAGTATTTTATTAACCTAGACTGAAACAACAGTCTCGTGGGACACTTACCGGATTTTAGCTCAAGTAGTCCACCTAATGAACTGCAACTACCAGTTATGCGTTGTTTCGAGGAGTTACCACCATCAATCAGAAACCTTATGTCTTCGAGTTATCTTGATATGGTAGCTTGTGAATATTTCGGAATGATCCCATCATCATTTGGTCACCTTAACAAGCTTGAATACCTATATCCAACAGTGAAATCGTCGATTGCTCAGACTATATGTTCTCTATTTTGGGTTTGGAACTGATAAAGCTCACCAGTTCGAAAATCGAAAGAATCATTCCAATAGGTGACATTTCTCTTTCAATTGAAAACCTACCTCAGCTTGTTAACTTAAGGTTTTTGGCAATCTTATAAATGGTACCATACCGCCTCAGCTTATGAACCTCATGCATCTCGCTAAATTAGACCTACACGCGAATCAACTATTAGATCAGTCACCATCTTGTCTCATAACTTGACTCAACTAACACTGCTTCACCTAGACACCAAAAGACTCGAAGGCTCGATACCCTCATCAGTCTCTCAGCTCTAAAATCTCAAAGTCTTTAACGTTGCCAGAAATCGCTTCAGTGGTACAACCATGCTAGATGGCTTTCTTAAGAAAAAAAAATAGAGATATTGCAATTATAATATAAGAGGATATCCGTATACACGAAAATTAGCATGGATGTTACTCTTTCCCGTCTTCCTGATTTAGAACTTGCCACATGCGATTTGGAGAAGTTTCTGTATTCCTGCAAAACCAAAGGATATCTATGGGTTAGACCAGTCACAAGAAAATATCAGGGGAGAAGTACTTGTCGCGACCCGCAACTCGAGACCGACCTAAGGGCAAGGGTTTAGAGGTAATTATTCATGAAACGGTCCAAATGGCACATCTTAAAAGATAGCTTACCAAAGCGTCGATCTTCTGTTCATCCATAAGGTCCATTGATCATGAACGTCGCTTCTCCCTCAATCCATACCTCGCATGACACGAGATTGATTTTATCTATTTTTAACAAATAGAGTCGCCACTAGCCTTTGTCACGCCCCAAACCCTACGAGCGCACGATCATCCCTTAAAGGTCGTAATGTATGCGACATCCCAGGACTTGTCGCCGACCCAATCGAAACACTAACAAGCAACACATGCGGAAGCAACCTCGAACTCTCCTTACAATATATAAACCATGGGATAGTAGAAAGACAAAGTATACACATCAACAAGGCAATTTTTTAAACAGAACATCGATTACAACAAATACATTTGCAAGCCTTCTACGAGGCCACTATCTACGAACCACACACAACAAAAATGATTGGGTGGTTGATAAGCTTAACTCCTCTACAAAAAAAAGGCATCCAAAAAGGAATGAAGCATCAAATGCCCAATATCACTCCGGAGCTCCGAACCGCACGTGATGATTACTCGTCATTCCAAGCCTGAAAAATGTTTAACAATGGGGGATGAGATAAATCTCAATAAGTAACTACCTAAGTCTCGCTTAGGCTAACGCGTACCTCCGAACAATCCTAATCATGCAATACCGACATCCAACATGTCATAACAATCATAGGTGCCCTTACCTTACCTCGGCACATACGCAAGCCCTATACATTAGAATCCCGTCATAATATGGCCAATTGCTCATCAAGCTTGTACAACGCAATTCAAGGCATAATCATGCATAACACGGTTGATAATCTAGACGTGCTCATCGATTAACTTAGGCAAAGCATTCCCAAATGCAAATTGCACTCATTAACTCCATATTATTAATGACCCCTCGGGCTACTGAACTCCCGCCGGTCTTCTGGCGTAACCAGGCATCGTCTCGCTACGTCGGCGACAACAATGTTGGGGATCGAACACCCCCCGGTAAGCCGGGTACCCAATGGCATTCCACTTAGGAGCATCAATCCGGCCTCCACCGCGATCGGCATCATCTGAGATCGAACACCCCCGGCAACCCCGAGTACCAGACAGCATCCGAACTCCTGCCGGGCATTGTCTAGAACTCCCGCCTAGACGGAACGTGTCGTGACCATGCACACACCTCAACAATCATTACCAATTCTTATCTTTGTAAATTAGCCCAATGTCAACTAAATCAGTCAAAACGCCACGATAACACCGAATAATTCTCGAGAGAGAGAAAAACCGAGAATGTACAAAACCGAAGCCAAACTGGGCTGTTGTACAGTGACCGAAATCCTTTTTAAATAAATAGTAAATCAACTCCAAAAATTCTAAATTTTGGATATGTCATATAAAACATCTTGATAAAGATTTTCCGTGAAGAACTCAAAACCCAGTTCCAAATGTAAACACCTCTTTTTGTCACTTGAAATCAGACGAAATTCAACCCGTCCAGTCAGGCCGCCTGACCTTCAAAATGCATCTCATCCAGTACCCAAATCACTTTGGAAAGCCTTGAAATTTTTATATACCATAGAAACAAGTGTTCTTAACAAGTTTCGTGCAGGAAATTTGTTGAAAAAAGGCCTGGAAAATTTTATAAAAATTAGAAAAGACAAGAAGGTCGGGGTGAACAGTAAATCCGGTAGACTGAATACAGTAAAAAAATGGACTTACGAATGACCCTAAATGATCTCCAAAAATTCCAGATTTAATTTATGTTATGCTACAAGATGTCATGAGAAACTTTCATGAAGAACACTTCATCAAATTCGTCCCACACAAATTACAACAAAAATAGAAAAATCCAGCGACGCAGCAGCAACCTTACCGGAAATCAACCAACAAGCACCACCAACCACTAAACCAACTATCCACAGCTCTAATCCACCCCTAAACATGTGCATTAGTAACCCATTATCCTAACCAAGGCTTAGGGAGCACTTACTAGGAGCCTAAGCAAGAAAAACTGAGCGAAAGGGCAGCAACAACCTCACGGGTGCAGCAGCGACGGACGGCGGCGAGCGGTCGCCGAACGGCTGAGGCGGTTGACCGGTGGAGGCAGACGAAGCTGCTGGTCAGACTTGCAGCAAGAAGAAGCGAGAAGCAGAACAAGAAGCATCAAAGCAGCAGCAGCAGTAGCGAAGCAGGAGCAAAGCAGCAAGAAGGAAAAGAAAACAGAAGAAGAAGAAGAAGAAGAAGAAGAGGAGAGGGAGTGGTCGTGGAATGGAGAGTGAGAAGCGACGACGGGAAAACAAAGCGAAGTGAAGCGGAACCAGCGGCTCGGCGAGGCGGAAACGAGAGGCATGGGTTCGCGAGAACGAAGCGAAGTAACATGGGGCGTAGCAAAGTCGGCGAGAATATGTCGGCGAGAAGTTAGCGGGGAGGGAAGCAGCAAAGCAGAGGCAGAACAGCAGTAGCAGTAACACGTGAGGGAGCAGAGGAAAGTCAGCCAGGTCAGTCAAAACAAGGCAGAAGCAATCAGCAGACATTGAAACAGAAATGGCAGCAAGGACGTGGGAGAGGTTAGCGGAAAGAAGTCCGCACGTGGGGCAGCGGCATGGGGGGTTCAGCAGGGGAGAAGGAGAGGAGAGAGAGAGAGGAGAGAGGAGAGGGGGTTCAATCATTAACCCACAAAATATTGTCCAATTTTCCTTTTTCCAAAATTCCGATCAACCCGATAATTGGCCACACTTTAATGAGACGACGTTCGATAAATTAGTCGTGGAAATCTTGAAACTTCAATACCCAATTCGGATTCTAATTAATGGCCAAATTCAATCGAATGCGACTTTAGCGTATCTCGAACTAACGGGCGGCTTTTAGAAATTACGCGTATCGACTCGTGGTCGATTCGCTATCAAGCCACATGTAAGTTTACTCGAGCCATGGCGACCTTGGTTGTCATGTAATTGCGAGGGTCAATCACTAGTTCCGAATGACGCAATCGTTCGGATTAGGTTTAGGATCGTTCGAAATTCATACAATGGCCAAGCAGAATCACCCGCGATCCAATTGCACGACATTTGCGAATCGTTCCATAACCATCCTTGGATCGGCCTTTAATGGCCCAAAATATTCCCTCGCCAATCCTTATGGTCAAAGTGTCAATCCATGGCCAAGTTCTTAGGTCCACGTACTTAAGTCCTAGCTAGCCATTCCCTAATGGTTAGTCTACTCGAGAGTGATCAATTCCGAGCAAGATTTCACTGAAAGCGCATTGAAGAAATATTCATTTCATAAATCCCGAAAATGGGTCGAAATTTAGAATGTCATAGCCTTTGTTGGGGGTCGACTAGATTACCCAATCGAAACGCGTGAATTTCGTTTCTATTTCTATGAAAATCAGAGATCATGGGTTGGAGGACTAGCTTATGTTAATATTTCCACTAATGCCCTTTCGGTATTGCTAAACTTAATGTGGTTATTATCTAAGTTGGCATACATTTGTTTTTATCATTTTCATGCCAAAGCCCTAATCCACTAAGGGCCCGTTTGGTAACGTGCCAAATAGTGAAAATTTCTGTTCTTTTGTTCCCAGAAATAGTTTGGGAACAGAAATGCGTTTGGTAAACTTTTTATTCCTTGGCACATTTTTGCAAAAATTTGTGCCGAGAAACAGTTTTGGAAGAGAAACAAGAAGTAAAAAAAAGTTGCTTCTTGTTTCTCGGCACAATTTTGAGAATCAGTTTTTTTTCTTTTTTTTTTTTCTTTTCTTATTTTTGTGTTGTTCTTCCCTGGGCTGGCCGCCGGCCGCCGGCGACCGGCGGCCGGCACCGCCCAGGGCCGGCGAGGGCGTCACGGCCCTCGCCGGCGAGGGCGAGGGCTGGACCCTCGCCGCCCGGGCGGCGACCTCGCCCGGATCGAGCGAGGCCGAGCCTCGCCGTCGGTCGCGACGGCGAGGTCGACCTCGCCCGCAGACGGCGAGGCTCGGCCTCGCCTAGATCTGGCGAGGCTCGCGACCCACGGCAAAGCCAACCTCGCCGTGGGTCGCGACGGCGAGCTCGGCCTCGCCCGGATCTGGCGAGGCCGAGCCTCGCCGTCGCAACCCACGGCGAGGTCGGCCGCCGTGGGTCGCGACGGCGAGGCTCGGCCTCGCCAGGATCTGGGCGAGGCCGAGCCTCGCCTGTCTATGGGCGAGGCCGTCTCGCCCGGGCGGCGAGGGCGACCCTCGCCTCCGCCGGCGGCCGGCGAGGGCCGTGACGCCCTCGCCGGCCCTGGGGCTGTGGCCGGTCGCCGGCGACCGGCGACCGGCCATGGCAAATGAAGAAAATGGGTAAAAAAAAAAATTAAACAAGTCAAAATATTATTAAAATATTATTTGGGAACATAAATTTTGTGTAGTTACCAAACGCATTTCTGTTCTTTTCTACTCTAGGAATAGAAATTTTGGACAGTTTATCAAACGCCTTCAAATACTCAGAAATTGTTTCCGGGCACAGAATCAAAAAAAATCATTTCTGTTCAGAAATAGCGCCCGGGCACAGAATGGTATTCATGCGCACCCTAAGTGACCATGCATCTTGTTTTTGTGTGTTTTCGTTTATGATTTTAAACTAATCCTATCTTAGTCTAGAAAAGAAAACAAACAAACAATTGTAATGAAAAGCGGTGCGTAAAGTAAACACCCAAGGAAATTGAAACGGCAATCTAATCTAAGAACAGAAAATGAAAACACGCAACTCGTCAGGTATTAATTACAATACGAAAGGAAAACCCGAGACATGGTCGGGTGTTGAATGATGTACAAAATGAGATCGGATTGGATATCGGTCGTATGTCGTCATCTTCACGTGTTTTGGCAACTTTCAGCATGGATCGCCCTGTGGGTATCGATTTTACATTCACATCATACATTTCGTACAAGTAATAGGCAAACATTCAAGCAAATCATCCCGAACATCAATTCGAGAATAAGCCATGGGGTCAGCCTTTGAATTTCATGCATTTCGATCACCAAATGACCTAATCAACTATGATTGATTGATTAGTGGTTAATGATAGTCGGCCACCATTTACATTCGCAAAACGGTGGTCGATATCAATTAACCCCCAAAGTCGGCTCTAAATGTCCACCGTGGGCTACCCGCCACATATGTATAGACCCTAATCATTCACCTAGCAAACACATTCATAAGCGATGAATTGAACATGTGTTTAGGCCAAATGACCTTATTTCTCAATCAAAGAAGCAATGGAAAATGAGCCTTGGGAGGGTCACTTAATTCAACTAAAATTTGTCAAATTCGGACACGTTATGTTTAAATTCGAGCAACCCACCAAACAATGTTCAAACGACGTGAATGAGTTACCATTAGAAATCTTAGGTCGTGAGGATTAAAGTTCAATTTCCTATTCGAATTTTTCGAAATTGGGATTTGACCTGGATACCCTTGACCCAACCTGAATTTTGCTCGGAATTTGAAAAAATGCGGGAAAAATAACAAACATTATCCAAATCCTGCCAAATTTTGCAAGCAGTTAGGAAAACATGTGACGAACAACTTTCATGTTTTGAGTTTTTACTATACCCCCCTCATCTTTCTTAAAAAAATTGAATTTCACCTAGGACTCAGTTGCAAACCGTTTTCCAAAAACAGATTGACCATATTCGAGTTTTTTTATGAAATTGACTCCCCCAAATGTTGCAATAATGTCCTCAAACTTTGAGTTCTTCAAATAAAGACCCCAATGAACAACTTTAAAGTTTTGAAATTTTGCAAAAGAGGTCATCAAGTATGACGAAATTGCGGAACCACATGTGGATACTTATAGGCTTAAATTTCCGGATCTAAACACATGATCCAATCAACACAATGATCAAATTAGGGACCAAATGCAATGTTATTTTCTGGGCATGTATAAAAAAAGTTCTAGTTTTTTCAAATAAATTCAATGGAATCCTTCAAAAATTCAATAGAAAATTAAGGCTCTCTAAAACGGAACTTATTGATGAGATTAAATTTGACAAGTACCCACGTATAACAAGAAATTCTCATAATAGCTGGCAACATATTGTCAGCTTTGCAATGGACCTAAAATTTGGTTAGAAATCCATATCATTCCACTAGATGATATATATCATTAAATGAAAAGGATCCCCTTTCTCCTCTACCTTTCTAGTCATCAACTCATTCAACAATTTGAATGAATTTCTAAGTATATATTGGTGCTACTCTAGTTCATCTCAACACATCACTGCATTAGGTCACGAAGCTGTCAAGGCTCGTTGAGAGAGAGAGAGAGAGAGAGAGAGAGAGAGAGAGAGGCCAAGTACAGTATAGGTGGGAATAGCCATGGTGGTAATAGCATCCAAAAGAATGGGCTTGATGATGCTTGTGGCGACTCTCATACTGTGCTCGTCCATTGGTGTTAAGCCCCGAACCCCGACGGGCTCGCGACACCCCTTCGATGGCCGTATTGAACGCGACGTCCCAGGACGCGTCACCGACCCAAACGAAACATTCAAATTAAATCACGAGCGGAAGCAAATTTAAATCAACCCAGACAATAATCAATGACGACGGGATAGCACTTGCATAAATCAAATAGTTGCTTACAACATCCATAAACATAGCATTAAATCATGATCATCAAAAGGGACAGTGGTTGGATAGCCCACTTCACTATACAAAAAGGGGACATCCACAAAAGGGATAAAGCATCAATATCCAACACCACTCCTGGTCTCCGACTCACACCTGACGACTGTTCGTCACTCCAAACCTGAAAATATTTAACAACGGGGGATGAGATAAATCTCAATAAGTAGACAACCTATACCCCACCTAGGCCAATGCGTATCCAGACGAGTCTAACATGTAATTCACCAGCCAACACAATCAATTTTCACACAACAAACTTACCTCGCCACGATTCACATGCCAACTATGCACATTAGTCAAATCACATGAATATCATAATAACTTATGAACACATCGCTATCATTCGGGCGCCATATACACACATACATTCACTCAATTCAATCACACTCAATTCGTATGTGTGGTCGACCAACTTTCCACAACCTGGGTCAACACCCCATAGGTCAGCCCTCCGATCAAGCCGGGCTCCATCCCTCACTGGACATTTCACACTTTCTCATGACCCGCGTCATCACGCCTCAGGTCAGCCCTCAGATCAAGCCGGGCTCCGTCCCTCACTGGATATTTCACACTTTCACACGACTCGCATCAACACGTCTCAGGTCAGCTCTCCGATCAATCCGGGCTCCGTCCCTCACTGGACATTTCGTATGCACATACACCACATCACAATTCGCTATTCTCACACATATATTCAATCAATTCAATCACACTCAATTTGCATGCGTGGCCGAGCAACTTTCCACGACCCGGGTCAACACCCCACAGGTCAGCCCTCTGATCAAGCCGGGCTCCGTCCCTCACTAGACCTTTCACACTTTCACACGATCCGTGTCAACACGCCTCAGGTCAACCCTCCGATCAATTCGGGCTCCGTCTCTCACTGAACATTTCACACTTTCACACGACCCGCGTCAACACGCCTCAGGTCAGCCCTCTGATCAATCCGGGCTCCGTCCCTCACTGGACATTTCGCATGCACATACACCACATCACAATTTGCCATTCTCACACGTCGTACAAATCCAATTTCAATCACAAACTCATCACACTAGCCCACCAATTCAACATTCAAGTCGACCCAATCACACGTCAATTTCACCCATAAACGCCACGACAATCCGATCATCACACCCACATAAATTAGCCACTAAACATGCCACATAATCATTGCAATTCAATCTACCAATTAACCACATTCATAAATTGGCCCTAACCCAAGTTTAACCACTAAACCGGTACTAATCACACCCTAAACAAGTCTAAAAATACCCATTATACTATGTAGGGTTTAGAAAGTCACTTACTTAAATTTGCCCCGGGAAAAATCCACTCAAGCTTAAAATGGCCCGGGTGAACAGTGACGACTCGAAGCAGGCGAGAGCGTGACGGGCGCAGGGCTCGACCACGACTCGACACATGGCCCGGTAACTCGGCGCGGCGCTCGGCCATAACTGGGCACACGGACTGTGACGCCCCGACCTCGGGGTCATTAACGTGACGTCCCGTTCATTATTATCTTTCATAATACACAAGCGGAAGCATTTCTCGGGATAATCACGTTAAAAACAACAGCGGGATTAAGACAAACAGCATCATGAGCAAACCTTATGTTTATAAAGCATGCAAACATGTTTTAACAAGCCCTTCGGGCCATGGCAACAACACATATTTTCATAGCCATTTACACAATAATAACAATTGGCTTGGGTGTCCTAAGCCCACTAGTTCGGATTCACTGCTCCTAGCTTTCCCCGAACTCCAACATGGCTCAACTCCCCCTGTCGCCGCCGTCCGTTCGACCATCCTATGTACCTGAGGGTGGGAAAAATGGGGGATGAGTCGGGGAGACTCAACAAGTGAAAACACTAATATCAAGCGAGGATATATCGATCGTCGTTAACATAAGTCGGCCCTTACCGCACCCGCATCAATGGCAGATCAATAGCAAAGTTCAAACAAGAGAACATCACGCATGGCCACATCGTGCACACCTTACAAACCAAGGCTCGGTTCTATCTCAACACAACATCAAACATGAAACATGATCAAATCGAGAAATGAACCAACTACAACCAACCAAACGACCGAGAAACGGTCCAAGCAAACCACGTCAAAACGCATCTCAACATCCTTTCCCGATATTAGGGAATCCGCTTACCCTTCACGAAACCAGAACTAGAGAGTAGAAAATGGATGGGAAAAGACGACGGCCTCGGGATCTCGGCCACTCACGGTGTCGACCTCTTTCTTTTCTTTCCCTTGACTTTCTCTCTCTCGGTTTTCTCTTTTTCTCTTTCTCCCTCACGGCTATTCTCTCTCTTTCTCTCTCTTTCTCTTTGGCCGAATGGCCTTCTTTCTATTTATAGAGAGACAAACTTGGGGCCAAAGCTTGGATGAGGTAAGCGCACGTGTCATCGATGAGGTGAGGTAAGCGCGCGTGTCATCCAAGCATTAATAGCCTCTCTCTCTCTCTCTCCCCTCCTTGCCGTGGCTTCCTCTCCCTTTCTTGGTCAATACTTGATGACCAAGGCTTCAATTAATGGCTTCATAATGGCTTGTGGAAAAATAAGGCCAAGCATTAATGAGAGTAATGATGAAGATGATAAGGTTTGACTTAGTCAAACTTTCTAGGGTTTTCTCCAATCAAAGTATAAAATATCTCATTTGAAAGCTCAAAACATGTACTTTAAATCACCAGAAGACACCAAGTCCAAATTCCAACGTTCTCGTATAGAAAATGCCGAATCTTTGAAATCTGACAAAACCAGACAGTTTTGCACTGTTTACGAAATTGGACTTAAAAACATAGTAAATCAACTCCGAAAATTCTCAAATTCGGATATGTCATAAACAAGATCTTAAAAAACATTTTTCATGAAGAATACAAAATCTAAATCTCTCTGTAAACACCATTTTCAGTCACTCAAAGACAGACTAAAAACAGTTCACTGGAACAGCATTCTTGTTTCTCAAAGTAAGCTCCGTCCAGAATCCAAATCATCTTGGAAAATTCCCAAATTTATAAAAGTTATAAAAAAGGAAGTTCTCAACAACTTTCATGAAGGAAACTTTTCCAAAATCGGCCCAGAAAATCTTGTAGAAAATAAATACGGTGTGAACATCACCGAAATACCCATTCTGGGCAGTTTCACACGGTCCGAAAATCAGTCCATCGTACCACTCATATCAACTCCAAAAATTATGAAATTAAAGTATGTAAAACTTCAAGATTTTTGGAACAACTTTAAAGAAGGAAGTATTCTGAAATTCGGATCACAAAAGTCTCCTAAAAAATAACAAAACGAAGGGATACAAAGGATCCGAAACTGGGTTTTCCAAAACAAGAGTAAACAATTTAGTTCTGATTGGAAAACCATCATACTCAAACCATAGCCATTTCCCCGGGACTGAAATTGAGGATATTACAATTTACCTGCGGCTTCCCAGGCCCAAAATCGGGATGTGACACGGACCGGTGATTGGACCACGGGCAAGGACAGCAACCTGGTGGTCGGCCACGGCCCGGGCAACAACGGGCACGTCTCGGGACACTCGGCAACGGGCTCGGCAACGGTCGGGCTGGCTGGCTGGCTGGCTGGCCGGCGGCGGCGATGGGAGGACGGTGGGAGGCGGTGAGCTGGTCCCGGCGACTGGCTCGGCCAAGGCACGAGCAGTCCGGCCAAGGTAGCGGCGACGGCGGCTCGAGGGAAAGCTGGGTGGTGGCGGCAAGCTACAGCGGCGGTTGGTGGCAAAGGGAGCTGGGTAGTGGTAGTGGGAGCAACGGCGGTCGGCACGGGGGCATGCAGCGGCGACTGGCGAGTTGGACAGAGGGGAGAGGAGCTCGGGGAAGGAGGGTTGGCGGCGGGAACAGCAAGGCAGGCGGCGGTCGAGGGTGGCACGGCGACATCACTGGCGGCGGAGCAGAGTAGGACAAGCCGGCTGGGCAGCGTCGGGCTGCGACAGGTGCGGCGGCGAGCTGCTGCTCGCGCAGAGAAGAGAGAGAGAATAGTCGGTCGAGGTGGCGGCTAGAAGGACGGTGTGGCGTGGCGGTCGAGCTGGCTGGTGACGGCGGCGGCGCGCGGCGGTCAGGCAGCAAGCGACAGTCGGGCGAGCAGAAACAGAAGCAGGAGCAGAACCAGTCGGGGCCAAAGAGGAAGAAAGGAAGAAGAAGAGAAAAGGAGGAGAGAGAGGGGGCAGGGGGTAGGTATGCATGGGCATGGGGGAAAACGTGGGCGAGGGGACGTGAGCGGGATTTAGTGGCACGCGGTAAAGAAGAGTGAGAGAGAGAGGACAGGCGCAGGGGAGACGTGTGCGCAGTGTGGGCGCGGCAGAGGAGAGAGAGGAGAGAGAGAGAGAGAGAGAGAACAAAAGTCAGTTTTTGTCCTCGAGTGCGATCCAATGGTCACGATTCGAATCCGAAAACGATCTAACGGTTCACGAAAATCCTAATTAATAATTAGGAAAAAGGGCCAAAAGAAATCAAATAAAACACACTACGAGGGAGATCTACTAGTCCAAATCTGCACCCTGTCAAAATTTCACTTTTCACATATCCCGGGCAATATTGAGGCTGGCCACAATAATATCGACACCATCCAATTAAATTCGTCATGGAACTCCAAGAAATTCAACACCAAAGTTTGAGCTTTAAATAACGGTCAAATTCGATCGAGTGCGATTCTACTGAAATCTCTAATTTACAAAGAAATAACCCAAAAGTGATCAGTTCCGAGCGAGATTTTGTTATAAGCGCACTGACGAAATACACGTTTTATAAATCCCAAAAATGGGTCGAAATCCGGAATGTCACAATAGGTGTCAACGCCGATTCGCACAAACTTTTGTCGCGCAAGTGGAGATGTGTAATTTCATGTGCCTTTTCACCTCCCATACTTCCATGCGTGCTCAAATGCCTCATTATTCCTCCCCCACAGTCCTTGACGTACGCGGCATCGCAACACTGCGATGTCGGTTGTTTCTTGTCTACTTGCCTTGACTATCATCAAGGTAACAATCTTCACATCGAGATCGAAAAAATAACGTAGCTTCTTGTGAGATCCGTGAAACCAAGGAAGTCATTATATAATCTTATTTTCTTTATAAATGTGTCATTGATATATTTTAAATATGAGAGCATGGTTGCGTACCAAATCATTTCATTTCCTTCGACTTCCATATATACGCTCTTGTTAAAAGAAATTCAATTTCTATTTTAATTTGAGTGACTTTTTTAATCTCTTGTTTCATATTCGAACTTATGTAGACACCGAGAAAGTTGGAATGGACGTGAACAAGGCTGGAGCTTGTGCAGATTCATGCTCTCGGAGTTGCCAGAAGACTTATCCATTGCACTAAAGTCATTCAGCTTTTGTAATGCCTTTGTACTTTCATTGCTCAAGAAATAAAAAGTGCCTTTTTAATATTCAACTTGACCATGAGATATAAATACAAAAGAAAATGTAAGCCCTACAATATAACAAAGTTGGCTTTGTCATGCCTCTAACGATTCGTATCGAAACACGATTATATGTTTTCACGGTGTGCATAAGATTGTTAGACTCCGGAACGACATCACATAATTGCATCACTTGGTGGTATTGCCAACAAGCCGAATGAAATGATATGTATGAGCACGTGTTAAGGCAAAAAAAGAAAAAGAATTATATATATCATTCACCGAAAGTTAACTTTGTGAAATACGTTTGGGTGGCAATTTAAAATATGACTAGACATCAAATTCTGTATGGTCACCCATACAAATACAACCTAAAATTAGGGAAAAAAGTCTCTCCTCATGAAGCCGATGTTCTCCATTCTACCAAACAAAGGATGCACTTTCGTCAACTCTTTACCGAGTCATAACATCCGGTTGTCTTCTTTGTAACTAGCTAACCTTTTAATGACTTAAAAACAACTATAAATCTTTGACTCTGCACGCAGGTAAGCTATATATGATTCTTTCCAACTGCTATAACACCCACCTGAACACAATTTACGAGACAACACAGAGAGAAACGAGCAACCACATGAATATCAACGCATCGAAGAGGGAGATGGCGATAATCTTGATGGCGGGGCTAATATATAGTGCATTCCTCGGCGGCAGTCGGGGGTGGCAATGTACGAAAATGTGTGCTCGTGCTTGTGCAATTACCATTTTGCCGTGGATTTGTTATGACCTTTGGGTGCGAGGTTGTCATGACGGCAAATCATATGTCCTGACCGTTCTGGAGCAATGCTATGTTGGTTGTGTGTGTCTGAGTGTTTTGATCGCCTTTAGGTATAATTTCTACACTATCATTACGTCTAATCTTCACTCGAAGTTAACACAAGTAACACTTAATTTCCAATTTGTGACACTCTAAATTTAATTCACCCTGAGGTGTTGTCCATCTTGGCCCATCTAATACCGAGCCTAACCATTTTTTATTTCGGCTTACGGGAAGGCACTTTCCCAGCCCTTCTTGGTGGTGCTCCCACCTGAACACACTTGACTTTGGAGTTTCAAAGCCAAGCAGTGCGCTTACTTCAAAAGGTGCCTCCGTGAGTTTACCGCAATTTTCACACATATATACCAAAAGCGCTCTACAAATTGGAAGAACAAGTCCCTGGTGACTTGAACATTTCGTCCGTAGTGTCAAATACTCTACCAAATTTGACTACTTTGAGAAGTCTCAGGATGCATGGCTGTGACATATTTGGAGTATTTCCAACTAGAGTATTTTATTAACCTAGACTGAAACAACAGTCTCGTGGGACACTTACCGGATTTTAGCTCAAGTAGTCCACTTGATGAACTGCAACTACCTGTTATGCGTTTTTTCGAGGAGTTACCACCATCAATTAGAAACCTTCTGTCTCCGAGTTATCTTGATATGGTAGCTTGTGAATATTTTGGAATGATCCCATCATCATTCGGTCATCTTACCAAGCTTGAATACCTAGATCCAACATTGAAATCGCAGATTGCTCAGACTATATGTTCTCTGTTTTGGGTTTGGAACTGACAAAGCTCACCAGTTCGAAAATCGAATGAATCATACTAATAGGTGACATTCCTCTTTCAATTGAAAACCTACCTCAGCTTGTTAACTTAAGGTTTTTGGCAATCTTATAAATGGTACCATACCGCCTCAGCTTATGAACCTCATGCATCTCGCTAAATTAGACCTACACGCGAATCAACTATCAGATCATTCACCATCTTGTCACATAACTTGACTCAACTAACACTGATTCACCTGGACACCAAAAGACTCGAAGGCTGGATACCCTCATCGATCTCTCAACTCTAAAATCTCGAAGTCCTTAACGTTGCCAGAAATCGCTTCAGGGGTACAACCATGCTAGACGGCTTTCTTAAGAGAAAAAAAATTAGAGATATTGCAATTATCATATAAGAGGATATCTGTATACAAGAAAATTAGCATGGATGTTACTCTTTCCCGTCTTCCTGATTTAGAACTTGCCACATGCGATTTGGGGAAGTTTCTGTATTCCTGCAAAACCAAAGGATATCTATGGGTTAGACCAGTCACAAGAAAATATTAGGAGAGAAGTACCTATCGCGACCCGCACCTCGAGGCCGACCTTGGGGCACGGGTTTAGAGGTAATTATTCATGAAACGGTCCAAATGGCACATCTTAAAAGATAGCTTACCAAAGCATCGATCTTCTATTCATCCATAAGGTCCATTGATCATGAACGTCGCTTCTCCCTCAATCCGTACCTCGCGTGACACGAGATTTATTTTTTCTATTTTTAACAAACAGAGTCGCCACTAGCCTTTGTTGGGGGTCGACTAGATTACCCAATCGAAGCGAGAATTTCGTTTCTGTTTTTATGAAAACCAAAGATCATGGGTTGGGGGACTAGCTTACGTTAATATTTCCACTAATGCCCATTCGGTACTGCTAAACTTAATGTGGTTATTATCTAAGTTGGCATACATTTGTTTTTATCATTTTCATGCCAAAGCCCTAATCCACTAAGTGACCATGCATCTTGTTTTTGTGTGTTTTTGTTTATGATTTTAAACTAATCCTATCTTAGTCTAGAAAAGAAAACAAACAAACAATTGTAATGAAAAGTGGTGCGTAAAGTAAACACCCAAGGAAATTGAAATGGCAATCTAATCTAATAACAGAAAATGAAAATGCGCAACTCGTCAGGTATTAATTACAATACGAAAGGAAAACCCGAGACATGGTCGGGTGTTGAATGATGTACAAAATGAGATCGAATTGGACATCGGTCTTTTGTCGTCGTCTTCACGTGTTTTGGCAACTTTCAGCATGGCAAAAGAACACTACAAGTGCCATAACTTGTGTACGGCGCTCACTTTAGTGCCATAACTTTTTTTTCGATCACTTTAGTGCTAAAATTTTTGAAAAACGATCACTTAAGTGCCAACTCCGGTGCCGTACACAATTTTTCGCCGGAAATCTGACGTGGCATTTTTTTTATTAATTTCTGAAGCTGACGTGGCTCGCCGGAGTCTCGCCGGAGATTGGCACTTAAGTGATCGTTTTTCAAAAAATTTAGCACTTAAATGTTCGTTTTTCAAAAATTTTAGCACTTAAGTGATCGTTTTTCAAAAATTTTAGCACTAAAGTGATCCAAAAAAAAGTTATGACACTTAAGTGATCGTTTTTCCTCCGACTTGGCACCAAAGTGATCCGAAAAAAAGTTATGGCACCAAAGTGAGCGCCGTACACAAGTTATGGCACTTATAGTGTCCTTTTGCCCTTTCAGCATGGATCGCCCCGTGGGTATCGATTTTACATTCACATAATACATTTCGTACAAGTTATAGGCAAACATTCAAGAAAATCATCCCGAACATCAATTCGAGAATGAGCCAAGGGGTCGGCCTTTGAATTTCATGCATTTCGATCACCAAACGACCTAATCAACTATGATTGATTGATTAGTGGTTAATGATAGTCGGCCACCATTGACATTCACAAAACGGTGGTCCATATCAATCAACCCCTAAAGTCGGTTCGAAATGTCCATCGTGGGCTACCCGCCGCATATGTATAGAGCCTAATCATTCATCTTGCAAACACATCCATAAGCGATGAATTGAACATGTGTTTAGGCCAAATGACCTTATTTCTCAATCAAACAAGCAATGGAAAGTGAGCCTTGGGAGGATCACTTAATTCAACTAAAATTTGTCAAATTCAGACACGTTATGTTTAAATGCGAGCAACCCACTAAACGATGTCCAAATGGCGTGAATTAGGTACCATTAGAAATCTTAGGTCGTGAGGATTAAAGTTCAATTTCCTACTCGAATTTTTCAAAAATTGGTATTTGACCTGGATACCCTTGACCCAACCCGATTTTTGATCGGAATTTGAAAAAATGCGGGAAAAATAAAAAAAAACATTATTCAAATCCTGCCAAATTTTGCAGGCAGCTAGGAAAACATGTGACGAACAACTTTCATGTTTTGAGTTTTTGCTAGAAGCCCCTCATCTTTCTTAAAAAAATTGAATTTCACTTAGGACTCAGCTGCAAATCGTTTTCCAAAAACAGATTGACCTTATCCGAGTTTTTTTATGAAATTGACTCCCCCAAATGTTGCAATAAGGTCTTCAAACTTTGTGTTCTTCAAATAAAGACCCCAATGAACAACTTTGAAGTTTTGAAATTTTTCAAAAGAGGTCATCAAGTATGACGAAATTGCGGAAACACATGTGGATACTTATAGGCTTAAATTTCCGGATCTAAACACATGATCCAATAAACACAATGATCAAATTAGGGACCAAATGCAATGTTATTTTATGGGCATGTATAAAAAAATTTCTAGTTTTTTCAAATAAATTCAATGGAATCCTTCAAAAATTCAATAGAAAATTAAGGCCCTCTAAACA